TAGCGTAACTTTATTCTTTCATGAGGTTTTTACAAGTTTCTGACCAAAATGTGTTTAGTGTGCTGCCCATTGTATAGGATTGTCAATGCAACCCTCTTCTCCCACCCTTCACTCACTGATAGATTTATTAGATCAACACCACAGGAGAAATGCCAGCACATGCTTCCAGTATCTGTTGTTTCAGGTGCTGCACATCTTGTCTAAAATTTTTGGGAAGCACATTTAATCGCTATACATTTTACATTCTTTTTTGGCCCAATATGTACCTGAAACATAATCAGTAGTTGGTATATATATTGAGTGGATATGTTTGCAAATCTGACTTTGAAAGAGTCAGTGCCTCACTGCTTGTCAATGTTTAAGGGGGCACTCATGTCTCATCACAAAGGGGCAAACAAAACTGACATTTAGCCTACAGTACTTGCATAACCTACAGTTTTATCTGTTATCTCTCTTTTGGTAGTACCCAATTTTACGTTGAGATTTTGAAAACCATTTCTAAATTTAGCAGGTCATGTAGAAAATGGGGCGGGGCGGGCAGCAGGTGAACAAAGGCTGAACATATAAAGGGTGCGGAATAAAACCTGGCGGGAGCAGACAGGAGTGGGACCAAAAATTCAGCCCTACGCAGATCTCTAGTTGGCAACAAATTATGTTTTGATGTATTGATCATGTAATAAGAAATATTTTATATATCAGAAATAGTTTAACATTTATTCATGATTTATTTCAACACAGGTTAATTAAATTGGTCAAAAGTGAAAGTAAGTTAATTATTCAATGATTCAAAAGATGTTTTTTAAGTGAGGTAACAATTAGGCCTTAACTAATATATATTTACACTGAAATTAATCATTTGTAACATGTATTTATGTATTTATGATTGATTGTATTGGTAGACATGTTCTGCAATACATTTTGAAACATTAGGTACATTGTATTTATTTTTTTGACGCAAGTACATAGTAGTTATGGCCATCAATATAAAGTGGAACCGAACTCTGTTATTTTATTTGCATTCATGAGAGTCCTTTCAGCATGTTTCTGTCATTAGGATTCAGTATGGCTTTTCCCTCTGCCAAAGGCTGGACCTGTATGATTTACAAGTCTAATCCGTATTGTCTACTGACACACAATCCTTCTTTATGGCACATGAGTATATCGTAAAACTAGAAAATTCATGTCAGGAACAAAGCTGGAGCTTTTATTTAAAAAGGGCATACTTGAATTTCACTATGGGAACCCTCCAGCATTGAAACCAATACTGCAACATTCTTACATAATGCACATTAATGCTAATATGTTAATATGATGGTTTCGAATTGATACGGAAATGTCATTTTATACGTATACAATATTTCAATATGTTGAACAACAGCTTTTTTCCTGGGAGTTTAATGAATTGTTTGCTTATCCAGAAAGAACATTGCGTCTCCTCCCTTCCATTGTGCACACAGAATCCTCAGATTGAATTGGACTGTTCATTCATTACTGCCAAAGACCTGACAGTAATGAATGTGACATTAATATTTGTCACTGATGTCACTGATGATAAGCCTGAAAGTCTTTTAAGGTCTGTTACGGATACGGGCCCTTTGTTTCGCTGGCGTCGTTATGATTACATCCATTGTGAAGAGCTTGCTTTCCTCAGCATGACAACATTGAATTAAGATATCCCTCTGCGTTTTGTACAGTAGTTATTAAAGAAAAAAACAACAAAATATCTTCAGAGTGTTCTTTATTGTTAAAAATGAAGAGATTAAAAATCTACAGCAATACAAATGTGTGTTTGGGGGGATAATAACATGGGTTGTTAAATATAATTAAATTATCTTGGTCATAAATTCAATACAAGTATCTTTAATAACAGTTTAAAAATGGAAGAGCTAACAGCGAATATTAGAGTATGAGAAACTAACTGCTAATCAGCATCACATGAATACTAATGAGTTAAAACAAATACAATTAATTAAATCTAAAAATATCTTAAATAGTCTTCCCATTCACCTCAGCCGCATAGCATAGTGATCTAGGTTTCTGTTCGAATTAATTAAATTCATTCCCTATGGTCTCTCTCTCTCTCTCTCTCTCTCTCTCTCTTTCTCTCAGCTCTTGTAACTCAAACTAATTATTGCAGAGAGTGATGCACTCAGAATCACTGGTGTCCCATGATCCTTTGTGCTGTTGTGATGAATAGACTCCTCACATTCCGTCCTCTGATATTCTCACTAAACTAGAAATATGTGTTGGGCAGGGTCTATTAGATACCTCTGCTTACGTTCTTCATGTAACTGATCTTAACCCCTCTAATAATGAAGCGAGGTATTGACTTTACGTTACACACTGCACCAACAGATCCAGATCGGTTGACATTTGAAATAAATACGTGAATATCTCTGCTGATCAGTTCATATAAAAGTGCAATTAAATAAAGAGTATTCAAAATATATGAATGTTTGTGTTACTCTATGATCATCACTATGATCGCCATGTGATTCAGGTTTGATTTCAAGACTGAAATCAAATGTGGTGTGGAAAGTATAAAAACAAACAAACAAAAAAAGATGTCATTTCTAACCTCTGACTTTTTTTCTTAAGCAGGACACAACAGACAATGTGAGTGGGAACCAAAATCCAAACATGACTGGGGTGAGTAAATGATATGAAAAGTGTAAACTATCCATTTAGGCCAAGAAATATACTTTACACAAGTACATGGATACAGATGTCAGTGCTTTGCCATTAAACGCCATGTGTTCCATTATATTAACACAGACTTTAGCCAGTTTGCTTACCAATATTGTGATTAAACTAATACTCTGGCATGACAGAAGACGATCTGATTGACAAATTCGATCACAAAGGTGGACAATTTTAATTATACAGGGCAAAAATTTCGGTTTGACTTTTAAAAAGTCCATTACTTTTCTCCATAGAGAAATTGTTATTTAAAAAAAAAAACATCTCAGGTCATTAATTGATTATAATGCTTTTGTTAAATTGATTTGGGTAACACTTTATTTGGAAGGTCTATTTGAGCATTAGTAGACTGTCTACTTAATATCTGTTGATACTGCTCCTTCAACAAACATTTAACTGACAATAAGAAACTTTAAGTACATGGCAGCTTACACTAACCCTAACCCCAACCTTACAACAATCTAATGAGAATTAGTTGCCATGTAGATGCAATGTAACTTATATTCAACAAACGGACCATCAAAATAAACTCTGACCATAATTTGTAGCATAAATTTATCTTGTTTTTCATAAAAACAGTTGTGTGAAATCATGGAATTTGTGCAGAAATCTACATTACCCATGAAGCTGTACAGATATTTTCACCAATCAGCGTCTCTCAGTGAGGAAAAAAAAGATAAATTTAGCCTCGCCCACTTCCATGAAGCACCATAAATCGTATCAAATATATATAGTATGGTATAGTATATGTAGTACATACACACGGCCACTTTATTAGGTACACCTGTCCAACTGCTTATTACCGAAAATGTCTAATCAGCCAATCACATGGCAGAAACTAAATGCATTTAGGCATGTAGACATTGTCAAGACCAGGGGTGTCCAAACTCGGCCCTGGAGGGCCAGTGTCCTGCATATTTTAGTTCCAACCCTTATTAAACACACCTGAACCAGCTAATCAAGCTCTTTCTAGGCATACTAGAAACCTTCTGAGAGGTACGTTGAAGGAAGTTTAAGCTAAACTATGCAGGACTCCGACCCTTTAGGACCGAGTTTGGACATCCCTGGTCAAGATGATGTGCTGCAGTTCAAACCGAGCACCAGAATGGTTAAGCAAGGAGATTTGAGTGACTTTGAACGTGACATGGGTGTTGGTGCCAGACGGGCTGGTCTGAATATTTCAGAAACCGCTGATCTACTGGGATTTTCACGCTCAATCATCTCTAGGGTATACAGAATAGTCCGACAAAGAGAAAATATCTAAAGAGCGGCAGTTTTGTAGGCGCAAATGACATGTTGATACCAGAGATTAGACTGGTTCGAGCTGATAGAAAGGCAACATTAGCTTAAATAACCACAAGTTACAACCGAGATATGCAGAATAGCTTCTCTGAACACTCAAAACATCAAACCTTGAGGCAGATGAGCTACAGCAGCAGAAGACCACACCGGGTGCCACCACTGTCAGCTAAGAACAGGAAACTGAGGCTACAATTCACACAGACTCACCAAAATTGAACAATGGAAGATTGGAAAAACGTTGCCTGGTCTGATAAGTCTTGATTTCTTGTTGTGACATTCAGATGGTAGGGTCAGAATTTGGCATCAAAAACATGAAAGCATGGATCCATTCTCCTTTGTATCAACGTTCAGGCTGCTGGTGGTGTAATGGTGTAGGGGATATTTTCTTGGCACACTTTGGGTCCATTAGCACCATTTGAGCATCATGTCATCGCCACAGCCTACCTGAGTATTGTAGCTGACCTTGTCCACCTTGTCCTTTTCTCTTTTGGACCACAGTGTACCCATCTTCTGATGGCTACTTTCAGCAGGATAATGTGCCTTGTCATAAAGCATGAATCATCTCAGACTGGTTTCTTGAACTTGACAACGAGTTCACTGTACTTAAATGGCCTCCACATTCACCAGCTCTTAATCCAATAGAGCACCTTTCGGATGTGGTGGAACGGGAGATTCACATCATGGATTTGCAGCCGACAAATCTGCAGCAACTGTGTGATGCTATCCTGTCAATATGGACCAAAATCTCTGCGGAATATTTCTAGTTCTTTGTTGAACCTATGCCATGAAGTATTCATGAAGGCAATTTTGAAGGCAAAAGGGGGTCCAACCCGGTACTAGTAGGGTAATACATAATAAAGTGGCCAGTAAGTGTGAGTGTATATAAATATATATATATATATATATATATATATATATATATATATATATATATATATATATATATATATATATAGTATATTTTACCAATATTATTTTTTTAATTCACAATGCTTCATTGTATTGTACATTTTTTTCTTCTTCATGTCCTGAAGTTCAAGAACTTAATTTTTTGTTTAAATTTTAATTCATGATCTTGCTTAAAATGTATTATTTGTTTAATTGATTTGGTTCATGACTTAAAATGCTTTTACAGAGACTTTTAAAATCCCCATTGAAAAATGAAAAGGGACGAAATACTTCATGAGCCAGCTCTGATGTAAAAAAAAGTCCTTGGACACTGACACCTAGTGGTGTGGATGTAAATTTAGTTTTTGATTTACCAAGGCCATTTTAAAAATGCATTTTAAACCATTATCAACTTATTCCACTGGTAATGTTTTCCAAAAACATCAATAGTCATGTGTTTAAAAGGTTTAACTGGAATCTCATGTGGTTTTGTTGAAATTACATTTCATAAAATAAAATAACATTACATAAACAATTAAAATGAGTCTAAAACCAGGCATCATTCCTGCTTGAGAACTATTTTAAAGACTTATTGTTTAATTGTGTGTTATGTGTTAAGTTGCTTTGTAACAAATAAAGGCAACTGTACCTAGCTAAAGGCTGTGTAGAGTGATATCATGATATTATTTCCCTGTACTGCATGAGTTTGTAACCGAAGAGCTCTGCACATGGGTATTGTGCTATTGTTTAGCTGAATGAACAGTCATATATATGTGTGTGTGTGTTTGCATTTAGCTGAACGCTGGGTTGTGGGATCCTGATAGAGATGTTGCTGGCGTCTGTTTTCCCCTCAGCAGCGACATAGACAAGATGAAGAAACACATGCTCATAACGGCGAGGATCGCGATGGCAGAAATTAAAGCGCTCGTCACTGAATTCATTTTGAATGGAGGGCCGTTTAACTGCGCTGAAACACAGACAGACACACACACGCACACACACATTCACAAAAGAGTGTTAGAAAGACTTCATACAGCCTTCAAACACTATCGCACACTCTTTCTTTCAATCCTCTGGTTCATTTCTTGATAACACCACCTGCTTCTACCCTCTATTAACTTCTCACAGTTGGAAACCATCCGACTCATCAGTATTTTGCTCACGGTTTTAAGCTGCTACATGTTTTTTTCCCCCCTATATATTTTTGTGAGGGAGTAAACCATGCTTTTATCCTCCATCAGAAATGCTACAGCTCTGAGATAGAAGGATTAAGCTGTCTTCTTTTAAAAGCGTAAAATGGAGGAGGATGAAAAGAAGGCTTACCTAGTTGGGATATATTACTGGGAGTTTCATCTGTGGACAGAGGAAAATTGTTTTAGCACACTTAAGATAAGTCAAAGTGCTGAATCATACACATCAATGCTGAAAAATAACAATAGAAGCCATCACAGAAGTTGTAATGGTCATGTGAGGGGAAATTATAATGTTTTTAACTGATATTGCAATTGCCATTTTGGGCCTCTACTAGATTTTATTTTAAATTTTTTTGTCTTCTAGTGGTGGCATGCTAAAACAGATAAATGCTAATTGATTATGTCCTAAAACACTACTGAAACCTTTCAAATGTACTGGTTGTTATGGCTAAAATGAATGGTATTTGTGACGTAAACATGAGAACTTGTGTGATGAGCTGATTTTGATGATAAACAGAATATGATTGCTGGAGAGTTTAGATATAGCACTGTTTATGCTGTACTTCCAAGTCAACACGCTTTAGACTCAAAGTTTGCTTTTTAGTGGAAATCATAGCCTTCAGCATTGTTCACACACACACACACACACACACACACACACACACACACACACACAAAACTATATTCTGCTGTTGATATCATACCACTTCGGGTGATGATGGGTCCAGCGGTTATAACTGCATTGTCTGAGGCACCACCGCTTCTTTCTGACACATCCCTTTTCTTCCTCTTACCGCAGATCTGTCAGGAAGACAATATTTGTAACAAATAAACACAGACCTGAGTTTAAGCTTATGTGCTTTTTGAAAAGCAGTGCTCAGCATATATGAGTATGCCTCTCATAAATTTATCTTGTAAATTCATATTTTTAATAGGAAGCTGTACAATATTATATTTGTGCCTATACATTAGATTAGTCAATACTGCGGCCAAATCTGGAGCTTAAATAACAAAATAACTTACGATAACGGTCCGAAAACTAGTACACCCAAATTTATATGTTATAGAAAAATATTAAATACAAATTTTAAAAAAGAAAAAATCAAGAAAACAAAAATATTGAAGTTTAGTTTGTTTAAATTTTTTTTTGCAATATTTTGCTTGATATTAATTGTAATTTCTTTCTATTTCTAAATATGTTTTGTGACTAAAATATTATTTTAATAAATATATCTGTTTAGTAAATCTGTTATACCAAAATACATTGCCTATGTTCACTGAAAAAAATATTAATTTTCAAAATGAGGTGTCCTCAATTATGTTGAGCATTGTATTCAAGAAAAGAGTAAAAAAAAACGGTACCACTTTATTTTGATAGTCCATATTGAGTATAGACTGTCTAATGTTAATATGCTCCTTCAACAGACATTTAACTGACTATAAGAAACTTATACAATTACATATCAACTAACAATAACCTTAACCCTACCCCCAACCCCAACCTAACAGTCTACATTTAATCTAATGAGAATTAGTTGGCATGTAGATGCAATGTAACTTAAACTCAACCAACAGACCATCAAAATAAAGTGTGACCAAAAAATCTGAAAATTCTGTCTTCAATTTCTCACTCTTGACTTGTTCCACACTAGTTTGAACACATCAAAAGATGATCTATTAAAGAAGATATTAAACCATTGACTCCCATAGTATTTATTTTTACTGCTATGCATGTCAATGGTTGCAGGTTTTTCAACATTCTTCAAAATATCTGTTTTGTGTTTGGAATAGTAAGGCTTAGTAAATTATGACAGAATGTTAATTTTTGGTGACCTGTTCCTTTAATAAGTCATGTTTGAACATTTTAAATGGAGACTAAAGTAACTAAAACATAAAATTGTAATTGTTTTTGCTACTTCAATAAATAAAATCTCATTTAAAATTGCTTTTAACTTAAATTGAAACACCTAAAACTACTATAAAAATACATTTTGGAGTGTATTAACATAGAAAACCTGCAATTTTCTATAGACCCTTTTCACATTATTGGGTTTGTCAGTAAATGAAGGTGTCATAGCTGGGTAAAATTATAGCACAGTGAATGGGAGAGTACAACAAATATTTTTTTTACAATCCTATTTGCTGAAATAATAAAAGAAAAACTCCCCAATGGTGTTATTAAGACTTAAAAAAAAAAGGAAAAACAAAATTGTGTGAGACTGATGGCGGAAACCAGAGGAGAGGATAACGTCCATTTACTTTCAGCCCCATGCATTACAAACAGCTCGCATAAGTGGTTATTAGTTTTTTTGTAATTTGACGCAAAGCTGATGTAATACATATATAAATACATATAAATGTTCAAACAATAAAAACAATCTAAATATTACAAATTTTCATGGATTTAAGATTATGATGATCGAAAACGCATCATAACAGGCTTGTGAAAGGGGTAATAATATTTCACAATAGTACACGTTTTAATTTTGATATTTTTATATTTGACTTTTTATCTTTGATCAAAAAAATAGAGCACAAATAGTGAGCACAGAAGTTGTATTTCAAAAGCTATGTACATCTGAAATAAAAAAAAGATCTAATTATTTTTTAAATAAATTAAAATTGAGTATATTGAGTATATACAAATATTTTTTAAGAGTGTAACAATCCAAAAGCAAATTAATTTCTCTCAATTTTTTTCACCAAAATACAATATCCTTTGTTTTTCTTCAGGTATCAGGATGAAGTATGACCCAATCATGTTGTTTTCCCCATACTATTTGTCTGAAGTGGCCATCCTTACGGGCAGGAGCATGGGGCAGTCATCAGAGCGACACAGCTTGGTCACGCAGTGCAGAAAAACAGTCGACATTTTCTGGTTTTTGTGCTTGACAAAGCGAAACACCTCAAAGGAGAAGCGACCCATCTGGCTCTTCCCGTTCTCAAACACTGTCGTCTGTGGGTCCTTATCGCATCTGCTGGATTGGAGGTCAGATACACTTAGCATTCAGCTCACACACACACACACACACAGATGTATGGCAAAGAATTACCCAAAGAAAAGATCATATCGCAGCTCATCATTAGGATTTCCAGAGGGAGTGGTGTAACAGTAGTCCATCAGAACGTTCCACCTGTGGGGATTGACATGCTTGAATAGGAAACAACCCTTTAAGACCAAACTGCGGTGTTTCATATAGAAGCCATGTTTCTTATCTCTACATGGGACCCATAATAATCTTTCCCATTGACTTTAGTGGCGCCCCTTGCTGGCTCTAAACAAGGCCAGCATTGAGTGAGTCGCACAGCATTCTCCATTTAATAGGCTAAACTAGGTCTGGATACATCAGATGGTCAATTAGTGAAGTGACTTAAGTCTCAGTTTACATTTGACTTTCACTGGGTTTCATGGCGAAGTTTGTAATTGGACTGAGTGTTGAGTACCATATGTTTGCATTTGGGTCTTGATTTTTTGTTTTGTTTTGTGGTCAACTGCTTTACCTCCTATCTAGGTTGGTGGCTTTTACAGCGGCGAACACTCGCGTCTTCAGAGTAAGTCCAGACATTGGGATGGCGAGGTTCTGAATGTATGAGGAGTCCTGAAATATTGAATGCCACAGATTATAATCCCATACATATATTCACTAAAGAAAACCATCAATAATAATAATAATAATAATAATAATAATAATAATAATAATAATAATAATAATAATAATTGTATGAATATAAAAATGTAGGTTAACTAGCCAGGATAATTAGGCAAGTTATTGTATAACGATGGTTTGTTCTGTAGACTATCGAGAAAAAAAATAGCTTAGAGGGGCTAATAATTTTTACCTTAAAATGTTTTTTTTTTTTAATTTAAACTGCTTTTATTCTAGCTGAAGTAAAACAAATAAGACTTTCTCCAGAAGAAAAAATACTATCAGACATACTGTAAAAATGTCCTTGCTCTGTTAAACATTATTTGGGAAATATTGAAAAAGAAATAAAAAAAAAACCAAAGGGGGGCTAATAATTCTCACTTTAACTGTTTATATTATTATTTTAAGTCTAAAAAATGAATAATAAATCATTAGAAATTAGAGATTAATAATAAAGTCTTTAATATAGAAATAAAGTAAATATAATCATAATCTAACAATAAAATAAGCTATACAAAAATAATAATAGATTTAAATAAATAAATCATTATTTTTATTCTTTAAAATTTATTTAAGAAATAAACAATGATAAAGATAAGAAACAAATCTTCTTCATGTTTTTATTATTATTATATTTTCTTTTTTAAAACTAAGAATAATTTAAAAAATAATGAAAAAGATTACTTACCAGAGATAAGCAAAATCTAATTTTAAAAAGCATATATATATATATATATATATATATATATATATATATATATATATATATATTTACATTTACATTTAGTCATTTAGCAGACGCTTTTATCCAAAGCGACTTACAAATGAGGACAAGGAAGCAACTTACACAACTATAAGAGCAACAATGAATAAGTGCTATAGGCAAGTTTCAGGTCTGTAATATATATATATATATATATATATATATATATATATATATATATACATATATACATACAGCTGAAGTCAGAATTATTAGCCCCCCCCCCTTTTTTTTTTTTCCTTCAATATCTGTTTAACGGAGAGAAGAATTTTTCTAAACATTTCTAAACATAATAGTTTTAATAACTCAATTCTAATAACTGATTTATTTTATCTTTGCCATGATGACAGTAAACAATATGAATGATGTCAAATGAAACTAATCAAACAATATTACAATATATTTTCCCACTGAACACTTTGAACACAGTGCAAATAATGTAGATAGTTCTCCATATAAAGAACCAAACAAATGCTCAATTAGAAACAGTATCGATGTACTCACGTTGTATAGAAGCAAATTGAGCGTGCTAACAAAAGTACCATTACTGTCCTTCACTGATATCGCTGCGGCCGACCTTCGAACAAAAGAAGCTATTAAAACACAATAAATATATTTTGCAGGCCAATTAAGTCTGAAAGGAAAACTTGTGTAATGGCTTTTCCTGATTTACTGTCTGATGTCCTTGTAATCAACCGTGCATTAGCTTTTACAACTTATTCGTTGTGCATACTAATTTAATTACGCCTCACAATCAAGCTCGTTAAATCGAAACTATAAATGCTAAATATTTTACAATGTGTTTTTTATCTTACCTCAAAAGTGCTATGAATAATTTAGCATGCATTAGGACACGATAATGCATCAAGACTGGAATGCATGCGCTGATAAAGAAGACTTACGAAGCAAGCTGTGTGTTGTTGACCAGGTATTCCAGTGGGTAGCTACAACTGAACTTGTAAAGCAGTCCTGGTAGGTAACTGATGACAGTCGGGGGATCCGGAGTGTCAATGTATCCTGCTATATTCCCAATCTGGACCAGGGAAAGATTCCCATAGGCGTTGGGCCCATGAGCCGTAGAGACCTGCCGACACAGGGGAACTAAACTATGATTGAGCTTCCAGAAACTAATGTACCTTCACCTCCCTAATCCTCAGCCCTTTCCTCAACACCAGATCTCTGCTGTCACCCAAGCAAAGATAAATCCAGCTCACCGCAGATGTTCTTCATTTATTATAGCCAAATTGTCATAGAGAGAATACCTTCTCTCCAAACACAAGCTGTTTACTGGAACAAATGTGGTTTCGTACTAATGACTGAACCTGGAATTCAAGTTCTGGGCCATTTAGGAGCTAATGTGAGTCAATTATTCTGTTCTTCTGACATAAGCTTTTAAAAATGGCAGTTTCTTACCACCAGTGAGTTTCCGCAAGACTCCAGAGTGTTGAGACTGATGCTAAACAGCACAACCGTGGGGAACGTGTTGTTGTTGATGAAGCCTCTGCAGTGGGCATCCCCGTGACGCCCATTCAGTGCCAGGTCAGTGTCAGTGTAGCCAGAAAAAAGCACCGGGCAAAAATTAATCTTCAGAGTTATGGTTTGAACTCCACAATACACACTGATGTCCCGCTCGGCTGTGGGTAGAGAGAGTAAAATATCATTAATTACGTGTCAGCGATTGAACGCTTGCACACAATAAAGAGAAAGCACCCACTCACCGGGGAAGCGGCTGTGGAAGTTGGCATCACAGTTGAACCCATTGAATTGAGCATTCGCTATGAAAGTTTTACTTACAAGCAAGAGAATCACACACAAACGTTCCATTTCAACTCCTGAGGAAGACAATGTATGAGCGATTTCTTTGGATTCATCAGAAAATGCTTCTTTTTCTGAAATGAGAGAAGAAATGATTAGACTCGCTTCAAAAGGTAATTTGACGGCATTGTTCTGTAATTATGCTATTAGGTTTGAAGAAAAGCTGACAAAAAATGAGAAACGCAACACTTTTGTTGGTCCGTCGGATAAAATTGAAGCCAATAATGATGAGGAGTTGATCTGAAGTGCTCAAAAATTCAAAAAGCCACAAATCTATTTGACACCGTGATGCTTTTACTCAGAGTTCTGCGTGTTTCACCCTGACCTCGATCCACTTTTGCCCTTCATCTGCTCTAGCATCCCTTGCTCTATTTCGGAAGACTCACCCGCTTTCCTGGCAGCTGTAGAATCAGCGGTACTCCATCTGTTCTCAGCTGTGGCGCGAGACTGACTGGATTACCCAGCATCCCTGCAAAACCACTAGAAACACGGCCTTGCTCTGAGGGAAAAAAATTAAGCATAAGAGATTCATTATTTGAACACGTCAACAGCAAAAGAGCTGTCTTGGGGTACATGGGAAAGTCCATCAAACGTGAATGTGTTATACAAATCCTTTCACGGGCCCAGAAACATGAGCAGGTTTTGAAGTTTCCCACTCATATCCTTTCTGCTTGATCTTGCTCTGTCAGCGCTCACAAGCGGCCCCACGCTGCATGTGGTCTGCGAGGGGGGAATTATCTTTTCATCGGCTCCGAGACTGGGCTTGTCGCTGACTGAGCTGGCCTTTCTGTGTGCCAGGACGGTCTGGGTCGGGACCAGGATTGTCTGGACGCTTTAGATGCTTTGTTTGGCCCAGCTCAGTCAGCACTTCCCCAGCCGCCTCCCATGATGGCATCCCATCTGTCTGGCAATGACCCCCCTTTCCAAGTTCTGCTGTTGCCCTTACATCGCCTCCTCAGAACTGTTTTCTAATGTATACAAGAATCATCATCACAAATGTGCCATTTTTGTCTCATCTTTACAATTTATTCACACTTCCAGTGATGAACGATTGCTCCACTCTATACACATTTAAATCAGACTAATAAATGAACAAATTAGCTGTCATGTTTACACTAAAGTGCTCTTAATATAGATGATTGATTACTTTAAAGATGTCTATACAATACATCCTTGTGTAAGCCGTCCAGGTCTTAAGCAAGAATTTGAAATGACAATCCCAATATAAATGACGCTGGAGAACTTAACCTTGTCTGTCTCACCTCCTTAAACCTCACTCCCATCCGGGTCACAGCACCAATGTAACACATTCAATTATGCTTAACCTGCTTAGAGCAGAATTTGAACTAGCAATTCAGCTGTAGAATGCAAATGGAACCCTCTGGTTCCTCTCGACCCACTCAGAGTGATATTCAAACAAGCAGTTATAGTGTAGGAGGTGGGCATACACCTCATGACACACTAAATCCTGCAGCTTCTAACTTTGGCATATCTTCTAATACACTTCTTAGGATAAGGTGAGGGATGCTTACTGTTAGGGTAATTTTGAGATGAAAGGAAACTTCATACACATCTGGGTCACGGCACCAACATAACCCACCTGGTTCAATCTGCTGTATCAAAACAATGATCCTCCATCAGTGTATGTCGGAAAGCTTATGCAATAATTTTCTGTTACTATTTGGCTGATACACCTTGACTAACGTCCATGAGTCTCATGACAGAAAGTGATCCCTAAACAATGTGTGTAGGACTGAATGAACGGCATACATAATATACCCTCTGGATTTATAGCATGGGTTATATTGATGCTAATTAAAGTGCAGGTGTATTTTTTTAGCTTAAAATATGTTCTTAAAATGTGCATTCAGCTTTAAGCAAGCCATTTGCATCCTCATTCCCAAAATGTGTAAACACTGCATTGCTTTCAAAACTGGCTTGACCTATTGTGTTAGTTTGGGGGCGGGGCTGCTCATCTTATGATGTTTGTACAGATTATTTCAATTTCAACATTACTTTATGTTGCTTGTTAAAATAACCTTAATGGTATAAAGATTCCAGCAAGAAGGTTGCAGGGTTGCTGGTTCGAACCTCTGCTCAGTTGGCGTTTCTGTGTGGAGTTTGCATGTTCTCCCTGCGTTCGCATGGGTTTCATCCAGGTGCTCCGGTTTCCCCCACAGTCCAAAGACATGCGGTACAGGTGAATTGGGAAGGCTAAATTGTCCATAGTGTATGTGTATGTGTGTGTGTGTGGATGTTTCCCAGAGATGGGTTGCGGCTGGAAGGGCATCCGCTGCGTAAAAACCTGCTGGATAAGTTGGCGGTTCATTCTGCTGTGGCGACCCCGGATTAATAAAGGGACTAAGCCGACAAAAAAATGAATGAATGAGTATAAAGATTCAACCTGAAGTAGAGACCCATCTGGGTCACGGCACCAGGTTCTATTCATCCGGCTCTGAGCAGGATTTAAACTGGCAATTTCACCATAGGAGGTAGGTACACTAAGAAGAATGCTACAGACAATAGCTGCTAGAGTCTAAACCCATACTAAACCCGGTCATAGTAGTAATGCAACCTCTCTGTGTTGACAAGTCCGGCTTATACTGGGATTTGAACTGGCAATCCTGTCATACAGTAGGTGGCAGGCACATTTATGAGATGAGGGGATTGATTTAATCATATGGAACTTTCTAGATGGCTTCCAGTTACACTTTACCCCCTAAATTTCATGTCCACATGAGTCACGGCACTAATGTAACTCGTCTGGCTGTACTTGACCTTCTCAGACCAAGATTAAAACTAGCAATTCTACTAAAGAGAATAGGCACTCTAACAAAAATGCTATGCTAAAGATTGTAGCATCTAGTGTCTGTCACTAGTCTGCTTCTTGAGATCAGATGTGTGAGCTTAAATCACATAGCTCTTACGAGATGGCCATTACACTCCACTCCGTAAACTACAGTTCCATTCAGGTGGTAGCACCAATGTTTTTTCTTCTGTTTGACCTACTTAAAGAGAGGTTAAGGTGGGCTGTTTTGGCAGAGAATGCAAGCAAGGACTCTACAAACTGTAGTGGCTATCACTATCTCTTGACATAAGGAGGTTCATTCACACAGCTCCCTTAGCTTTCCCTGATTTCATCATTTGTTCTTACCTGATTAATCAATGCTTGAGTCATCCGCGCTGCAAGCCAGCTTGTACCGCAATGCATTATCCAGATGTCACTTGTCAGTCTGTGTGAAATACAATAGATCCAAAGAATTAAGCATTTTGAAACTACGCAAGCGTCCCAAACTGTTCAACTTCCAAATCCAGTTTGGTTTTATAGAGAAACAGACCGCTGAAGCTCTGACCCTCTTTGGGCAGAACTCTGACAAGGTTTCTTGAGATGGAAGGGGCTGTTTGTCTATAGTGGGGCAATTCAGCACTTGAGATAAGTATCTCTATTTATTCGCTTCCAGCAAATGTCATTCCTTCATTTTTCTCTGTTGAATTTTCCTATACAGCAGGCTATAGTGCCGTTTATCAGTGTGGCACATCTCATTCACCTTGGCAAGGTACCAGGGCAAGCAGAACAATTTTTATTGTAAGGGTTTTCTTGTCTGTTAATACAATATACAGTACACGTACTTTAGAGTTTATTAAGTCACTTTTGACAAGTGTGCTGCAACTTTATTTTCCCCTTTTACTACAGAATGTAGTTTAAATAGGCACCTATGGAAATATCATTCCGTTTAAATATTATTTATGTAACAAATATTGTATTAAGTATATTTAGAACAACAATCATTTAACAGAAAAAAATCCAGTTTAAGGATTTAAGCTCCAAAAGTACTAATTGCCATTTCAAATGTTTTTACTTTGCCACTATCCTTTAAACTACTTTTTTTTTGTCAGCAACTGACACCAATCTTTCAGTTTTTAATAATTAAAAAAAATATATGACTTATGTATTTATCATTTTAACCCCCTTAAATTTTCATTCTTTGTTGTTTTGCAGCCATTTGCTAAAATTATTCAAGCTCATTTTTTCCTCATTAATGTACACACAGCACCCCACACCGACAGAAATACACAGAATTGTTGACATTTTTGCAGATTTATTAAAAAAAAAAACTGAACTATCACATGGTCCTAAGTATTCAGGGCCTTTGCCCAGTATTTAGTAAAAGCTCCCTTTTGATTTAATACAGCCTTGGGTCTTTTTGGGAAAGATGCAGCAAGTTTTTCACACCTAGATTTGGGTCTTTCATTCCTCCTTGCAGATCCTCTCCAGTTCTTCTATATAACAAAGTGAAAGATTTAAGGGGGGCTGAATAATTTTCGTACCCACTATATTAATAATATTATATGATTAATTTGTACAGGTCAGGAAAATATTTTGTATATTTTAAATAAATTAGTTAATCTGCTAAAGATTGAACATTTTTTCACCTATATTTTGTCATTTTATATATTTAGAAAGTTTACTGGAAACATTTCCCACTTTACATTTAACATTGTTTTAGGGATATAAAATCAGATTTGATGATGTGGACACCAAAAAATAAAATGAAATTACAATTACATTTTAACACTAATAATAGTACTATGAAATGGCCTCAGCTCACATTTGAACTTCTGAAATAAAAGCCACAGGAATGGTATTCATGAATCCAGCTTATCACAAAGGCTGTGTCTATTTTTATTTGGCTGGCATTTGGTCTTGGTTCATTTTCTTTTTCCATTATTTATCTGATGACTTTATTCAGAGCGCAGTGAACATTGTGGGTCATTATTAGAGGTTATGATGACAAACTCAGTAATTCAATATAAAACCTTAATAGGGATGATGACAATGGCACAACTAACTGTTCTGTAGATCTTTAGAGTAGATAAATGCATTTGATCGTCACAAAACAAATGATCAGATATTCTATCGCAAACGGTTTCATTAAGTTTTTGTTTTTTTCAGTCTACTGTAAAGAAAACATTCATCATACGTTGTAAAACCCAACAGTCAACTTTATCAAAAGAAATGAGTGTAGTTAACTCAAAATTGACTGAAAGTCAATTCTACTCATTTGAAGAGATTTCTGAACTCAGTGTTGAAGTTAATGAGATAATCAAATACCTCATTACTTCAAATTAAATGGAGTAAGTTCACAGTACTCATAGAGATTAGTTTTTTAACTCAAATAGTTTGTAATGGGTTTTCTCAAATGGTTCGAGTTGCCTTAACTTGTTGGGTTTTACAGTACTCTGTTGGTTTGAGTTCTCTTCATTTATTGGGTTTTACTGGGCTCAAATTGCTCCGTTTGCTCAAATGAATTAAGTCCACAGTACTTATCATGATTAGCATTTGAACTTAAATGGTTTGTTGCAATCAGTTTCCTCATATGGTTTGAGTTGCATTAACTTTTTGGGTTTTACAGTGTATAATTTTAGGAATATAATTTTCTTTTGCCACACTTTATCAATTTGTGTCAGTTGATTTCAATTGCAAGACTCCAAAATTGCCTATACTACTCAGCTACTACATTTGAAACTTAATACACAGCTGTTAGCAAAGTACGTTCTACACAGTATGAAAGTGAGTAGTATGAATGCAACTCGAATGTACTACATCTGCCATTTCATCCTACCTATGTCAGCTGCACTCACTTCACTTACATTCACGAATTCTCTTGTGTGGAATCATGGGATAGCATAGCATCGATTGGATGCGCACTTTAGAATCTCGCCGGAAGTAGTAGGTCATTCCGGTACTTCTGGCATACGTTTTTTTTTTTTGTACCTACTATTCGGCTCGCATACTGTTTTTAGCGTACTATATATTATGCAAGTATGTGATTTGAGATGCAGCCATATTTGTAATGCCTTTTTTCCTTTAAAATTACTTTATTTTTGGCAATGAATCGTTTTCATCATTTTCCTCCTCAAGGCTGCATTTATTTGATCAAAATTGCAATAAAACCTGTAATGTTGTATAAATCTTATTTACTACACATCCAGAATAACTGCTTTAATTTTTTATTTGTAATTTCATATTCCTGTGATTCAAAGCTTAATTTACTAAAGTCCTCTGTGTCACATGAACTTACACACATCATAAACAATCGTTTAACAATTTTAATAATTGTTAAAATCAATTTTTTTTATTGGTATT